GACTAATGCATAATATATCAGTTTTAATGAATTTCGGTTCACGAAGTGTCGCATTTTAGCTATTATACCAGAAGCTCTAACTATTTTCTTTGTTACCTAAGCTATATGATCTTTCCAGGTCAAATATTCGTCAATGATAATAACAATTAAGGAAGGTTGTAGTTTTAACTTGTTCAATATTTTTACCATTTATGTTCATTTTAATTATTTGATTTGTTTTTTTATTTGGAAATCTGAATAAAATAACTTTAGTTTTTGTTGTATTTAAAGATAATTTATTCACATTCAACCATTCAGCAACTTTATCAATTCCTGGTTATATAATATTACCAAGTGTTTTTAGACACTTGTTACTATAAAATATATTAGTGTCATCTGCAAATAATAGAAACGAAATCAATTTACTGCAATTTTCAATATCATTTATATAAAGCAAAAAGAGTATTGACTCAAAAATTGACCCCTGTGGGACACCACTCTTAATTACCATTTCTTTTGATTTAATTTGGTTGAATTTAACAATTTGTTTTTTATTTCTTAAATAATCTTGAAACCATACTTGAGTTATTCCCCGTATACCATAGTGATCAAGTTTTTGGATCAATATCTTGTGATCAATTGTGTCAAAGGCTTTTGACAAGTTGAGGAAAATACCTATCGTGTATTCTCCTTTATCGATTGCTTTAGTAATTCTGTCAACAAGTTCTATGATTGCAAGTTCAGTGGATCTATTTTCCCTAAAACCATAATGACGTTATGTTAATATGTTATTTTTTTCTATGTGGTTAATTAATCTCGTATACATAAGCTTTTCTAATAATTTATAAAAACAAGTGAGAACAAATATGGGTCGATAATTGTTAAATTCTTTCTTTTTGTTTTTGTTGAAAATAGGGCTAACTAGAGCTATTTTTAGATCATCAGGTATAATTCTTGTGAGGAAAGTCAAGTTGAACACATGTGAAAGGGGTTCAGAAATTTCTGTAGCAACTGTTTTGATAACTTGTGAACATATTCCATCATACTCAGGGCATTTTTTTGAATTCAAATTGTTTATCTCATTTTCTAATTCATATTTAGTTATTGGACTAATAAAAAAGCAATTTTTACAGCTGTAGTGAGATATTTATCAAAGGCTGTTTTGGAATTCGGGAGCTTTTTTTCTAGACTTGGGCCAATATTTACAAAATAGTCATTGAATCTATTTGCTATTGCATTTGGATCAGTAATTTTTTCTCCTGGACTATTACCATTAAATTTTATTGGTAACATCCTATTTATCTTATTTCGGTTCATAATTTCATTTAATGTTTTCCATAATACCTATGTATTATGTTTATATTTTATTCATTGTTCTTCATAATATTTTTTTGCCACTTTTATTACATGATTTAATTTATTTTTATATTTTTTGTATATTTTTTCGTTTGTTCCTTTAGGGTATTGGAGGTATTTTTTATATAACTTGTTCTTTTGTTTAACTGATTTTGCAATACAACTTGTCATCCATGGGCTTCGATTTTTGTCAATCATTCTTTTCGTCACTTTCTTTGTTAATGGAAAGTTTTTTTCATAGGATGTTGAGAATAAGTTGAAAAATTTGTTGTGGGACTCTGTAGTGTTGTTTTCAGAAAGTACATTTCCCCATGATATATTTTTAATTGTATTAGTAAATGATTGAAAATTGGCATCACTCATAATCCTCTTACAGGTAAATTCAGTTTTTGAAGTTTTTTCATGGTAATTTTTTGAATTTCGTATATGAACTGTTGGTAAATGATCAGAGATATCACAAAAAAATAACCCATTCGTGCTTGATTCTATAGTTTCTATGTCATTGGTGAAAATATTGTCAATTAGTGTAGCCGTATGCTGAATGATTCTTGTTGGTCTTAGCACAAGTGGGATATATGATGATGTTGTAATAACGTGTGGGAGAAAGATCCGAAACCCAAGCAAACTTATTGCCATATTAAATCAAACGAGACATAAACGCGTTGCCTGTGTATACGTATCGAACAAATAGACCGTTGTATAAAAACGTCAGTTGCCAATATAAACCGTTTCGTTTCCCTAAAGAAGCCGTGTGTTAATGAAAGCCTTAAAAAGTTCAGAAAGTGAAGCGGCTTATGAGGCATACAGTCCTTGTAGAATTTAACACTATTTAATTTTACTATTATTTTTTCTCGAGGTTTTTCCTATTTAAATTAGGGTAGAAAGGCTATTTTTTTCCTATCCAAGTGCAGCCATATTTTTTCCTATTTATGATATATTTCTAAACAAATACTTAATTGATGAACTCGAATAGAAATTAAATAGGTTTCAAATATAATAAAAATAGGGCTATTTAGGGAAAGTACATTAATTACACCGAGGGAGGGGGATGAAGATGTCTTGAAAAAAGCTCATATTTTTACAGGGCCCCTGTTGAGGTTAATGGTAAATTTCGATGCCCCCTCCAAGTTTTTAAAATTTGAATGCCCCCCCCCCCTCTAGAATTCGGAATCGAAGGAGTACAATCCGGAATTCTCCATTATAGATACAATTTGCAGTTCCTCAAGATGTCTGATATACTCAAGCATGTGCTTCTCCTCAACAAAACTACCGATCTTCTGCTTCTTTCACCTCACTAGCGCCAGATGAAATGGCACCGTCTTAAAAAAAATTTGAATTGGCTTTAGGGGCGAAATTATCAACAGGTTGTTGTTGTCCATCATTCAGCGTAGTCGGAGTCTTGAACACGTTCATGTAGTGGCCAGGATTTCGTGGATCAGGGTAATGTGCTGGAAACTTACAGAATGTCGCCCCCGCCCAACGTATCTCCCGGCATCTGTTGCAAATTTCTTTGCATGCCTGTCAAAAATGCATGCAAAAGTGCCTGTATGCTTCAATTTCTTTAATTTCCATCCTGTTTGTACTAAATATCCCATAAACATAGAACATATTGTAATTCTTACAAATCGTATGCTTTTTTTGTTTTTGGAACTGCTAGTTTTTAGCGGGTAAATTACTTCACAAACCTGGTCCCAAAAAATTTAAAATAAGCTATAGGTGATTTCATGTATCCATTTAGAAGAGCAGACTAAGGATATCTTAAAACTGAAATCGGTTTCAAATACAACTATCAGGGATGTAGCAAACAGGGACGGATCCAAACCGATGCCAGCGATGCGAATGCATCTGTCAAAATTGAGAAATCATGATTCATGTTGCTTGAAATATATAGATATATAATTC